TCAATATGTAATAACTGCTATCTTTATTTACCAACAACGATAATTTAAAAGATTGATTTTGTTTATTACTTAAAAAATATGATATAACTATTTGTTTTTTTTCTATTATATTTATTTGTCTTGCTTTTAAGTTACTTCAGGGCATTTTTTTAGTTATAAAACAGTACATAATGACATATTTACAAATATAATATAATATTATAATTGATTGAAATAATTAAAAATCGATCGAATTCAAATTTATATATAATTAATATATAGATACAATTTATTGAAAAAAAAGTAAAATGTGTTTCACGAATAAATTGATTAAATTATTCAAAGAAAAAATGATAGAATCAGGCCCGAAAGAACATAACCATTATTTTTGTCTTTTATTGGAATTCTCATCATTTTCTATTCATTCTTAATTTTAATGCTTTTAATTATTGTTTTTATTTATTATTAATAATCATTATGGGGTTTTATTAAAATTAATTTAATTATACTTTTTAAATTCAAAAAAATAATAATAATAAATGTAATTTAGATAATTAAAATATATATATTTAAATTAAATATAAAACAGATATACAGATACAATAATTGTTGGTTGTTTTAATAAGTGGTTGTAATGAAAATAATGTTATTAAAAACAAAAAAATGATTTTTTTCAAATTATTTAAAAAGCTATCAATATGTTTAATAAGTAGGCTATAAAACAAAATATAAATCGTTACTTATTTGTTTTATGATATAATTTTATGTATTAAACAAAATCTTGATAATACGAATATTTTAAAATTTTAACAAAAGAAAATGTTGTGTATATAAAAAAACCGATTAAGACGAAGTAAACTTATGTCTTTATAAAGCCAACAACAATAAAAGATATGTAATAGATAATAACCATAATCAGCACAGAACATTTAATTAATTTAAACATAATAACAACTTTAATGAACAATTTATCATTTGTAATTTGATGTCATATTATATAAGTTTGTATTAATACATTGCGATTAATTATTCGTTTACAACTTTATAAATAAACTTACTTGATAATTATAAATATTAAATGTTTTATTTACACATCCCTTTATATCTTTATAAAATATTGCGAATCCCCGACATCAGTTCCTTTTTTATATCAATCACTAAGTATAGTCAATTTTAATTTTAATAAGAAAAATTGAAGTTTTCTGGTTTTCATCAAAATATAAATTTTTAATTTTTTCTATTTGACAACCACTTTTTATAAAACAATCCAAACAATTACTATTATACCGTAAATCTTTTTCTTTAAACATCAACAACTTTTTAATTACTAAAAAAGAAATAAAAATAATTTTAAATACTTGTGACAACCACTATATCTTACACCTGTATATCAATTTGTGAAATACAATCACATCATTTTTTCTTT